CCAGCACTATCGCACACGTAGTGAGGCACGGCGCTAGCCCAGGAAGGAGCCTCACAATCATGCCCGACGCGAAGCTGCGGCCAGTGCCTGTGGAGGTGCGATGGGTCGAGGAACCTCGTGGCGATCGTGTGGGCGAGTTGCTCCTCATCGCGGCTACGCCTTCTGCGGTTGCCCGAGCAGTCGGACCGGATGTCCGAGGCGAACTGATGGCTGGCTTGCAAAACAGCCATAAGCACAGGCTGATCAGGGATTGGAGGGCGGCACCAAGAAGGAGGTGAAGTTAAGTGCAAACGTGCGTTCACACCGCACTCGTCGCACGTCCCGTGGATCGCGAGCTGGGATTGCTCCCAGCTCCGCCACCAACTAGAATTGCGGCGGTTGGAAGCTGTACGTGAGAAAGCTTGGCGGCAATGAGATGTCGACTGCGGGGCGTTACTCTTCATACAGTATGAAGATATGCGTCGACGCTGGGGCCAAACAGCGGCGACCCCTCCTATGTGACTGAAGAGGAAAAGGAGGAGGAGGAGGATGAGGAGGAGGAGGAGGAGGAGGAGGCAGGAAGAGGAGGGAGGAGGAGGAGGCAGGAGTAGGGAGGAGGAGGAAGCAGGAGGAGGCAGGAGGGAAGGATGAGAAGGAGTGGGGAGGAACCGTCGGAAACCTTCTGGCCATGTCCGAAAGACCGAGCTACACACAACGACGCAAGCGAACCTAAGACCAGTCACCGAAGCCCCTTGCCTGACGGACATCCGCGCAGATACAAAGGAACGAGGAGGAAGAAGAGGATTCTGGTGGAAGAGGAGGAGGAGGAGGAGGACGACGACGATGACGATCAGGGCAGAGGAGGAGGAGGACGAGGAGCCCGACAGGGAGCGCCGTTGCTCCCGTGATGTGGGCCGAGCTTGATCATCCAGGCTGCACCTGCCCTCCTGTCCCCTCTTTCCTACAACACTTCCTCCAACGGTGAGCCCCAAATGGAGGAGGAGGAGGAGGAGAAGGAGGAGGAGGAGGAAAAGGGGGAGGAAGAGGGGAGGAACCGAAAGGTGCACAGCACCCCGTGCAGCAGAACGCCTGCAGGCGACGACGGCCTTGGACCGGGGACCAGGCGGGCTCAGGCCCGCTTCAGCAGTGGCGGCCGCAACACCCTTTTCGAGGACCGGAAAGAAGCAAGTCGCTGCTGATCCTGGCAGGGCGGGGCCTTCTGACGAGAAGGGCAGGGAGCTGAGCAAGGGCCGACCGTCCCAGCACTCCAGGAGTGCCACACATGGCACACACATGGGCACCTGCTCCCGCGCCCCTGCGCGCACACGGGATAGCCGCGCTGGCACCAAAGAGGCACCAGGGCGCTGTAGCCCTGCCACAGCAGGTTCTTAGAGCAAGCAGTAGGCAAGTTCCAGCAATCCAAACAACGTTCTCATCACAAGCAAGCCGGTGCGTGTGAAGACCAGGCAGGTCTCGGCCAGAAAGGTACCAAGAACACGTCGCGAAAAACCACCGAGGGTTCTCAGAACACCCGCTGGCGGGTCGCATAGGCGAGCAAGGACGCTCCGCCACTTCGGGAGCGGCCAAGAGGGGGGTGTCCAAGAGGGGGGGGTGCAAATCATGACCGGCGGCATGTGCGCGGCCCAGCTGGGGGGCCAGGGACGTAATGAAATAAGAAGAAGAGGCGCCATGAAATCTGGGGAAATATCATGGCCCCCGCCATGATATCCACCCGCCCTAGTCATCACCCCCCTCTTTTCCGCCCCCGAGCCACTGCCTGAAGGGGAGGCGAGCAGGCTCTCGAGGGGGGAGAGTCCGGCACGCCAGAGACGGCAGGGGGGGAGGGCTCGAGAGCGTGGCGCGGCGTGGCGCCGACGCCGACGGCTTGGGGGAGCCTCGGGGCACCACGGCGGGCACGCAGGCCGAGGCTGCGGCCGGTGCTGCGCTGATAGCGCCCCAGAAAGACGGCCCCACGCAAGACGAAGCCAGGGCGAGGACAAGTTCGGGCGAGGATGCATCGAGAATCTCTCAGACCTGGCGGCTCCGAAGGGTGCCTCGGGCGCCGCGGCCTTCCCAAAGCGTTCCAGAAGGCTCTGAGAGCGTTCCGGAACGTGCAGCATCGGATTGATTCTCGTCCTAGCCCCGTCTGAGACGGCCCTACGCGGGGCTAGGCGGTGGCGCGGGGGCGCCGGAATCATATTCCATCAGCAACCCAGACGGCGGCGGGCACCACGGCGGGCACTCATGCAGGAGAGCATGCAAGAGCGCACACGTCGTTCCGTTCGTTCGCTTGCACCAAGAGGCCTGGACGTCGTTCTCTACCCCTCTTGCGGCCCGCACTGGGAGGGTTCTCACTTCGAATCTCGAGAGCTGCACTTCGTTCCTTCCGTCTCCTTGGCGTCGGCCTTATCACCCTCACGCCGGCCATGGGTCCGCGTTCGGCCTCCCGCACGCTCCGCTGGGACGCACAGGGGAGTACTAGTGCTCGATGTCTTCCTTGGAGGCGTGCGTCCGAACCGAACATCTAGTATAACCATCTTGTCGTATATCGTTTCCCGAGCGGTGTGGCCAGAAAGCGCCCGCCACGGAGCTTATACAATAAGATTTCTCGGCGCGCGCATCTCCTACGGGGGGGCGACGCACACACAGTCTTAGTATGTTGGGGTGACGCCGATCCTCAGTTCGGCCTTCGTCACCAACCATCAAAAAGCTGTCCCTGACCCTGGCACTGCCGTCCGCTGCTACTAACTTCGTTGACTCGGCCGTGCCCCCTCTACAGTCAAGCAACTACTAGAAGGAACTCTGAAATCAAGGAACAAAGCCCCTCTTTGGCCCCAAAAGCGCCTCGGTGCACGCGGAGCGCTAGAGGAACCACCATGGAATGACCTCAGGAGCAGCGATCTCCCTCCCAACCCGAACTGCTCCTTCTTTCAGCGACTTGACCGCCCCATTGTCGAGACACTGCCCTCCGGTGCCGCCAACGTACCCGTCGGTCGGAAGACGTAGGTGAAAGCGTGAAGCAGGCGGGCGGACGACGCAGATTGGGCTCGGGCCCGACCAAAGACGAACGGAAGACAGCGAACACGGATCGACCCTTGAGGTAGGAAGGCGCTCGAAGTAGGTTGACATCCGGGGGTCCATGAATACTCGGGGGCGGCCAAGAGGGGGGCGTCAAAGAGGGGGGGGGTGCAAATCATGGCTGGCGTCACGTGCGCGGCCCAGGGGGGGACCCAGGGACGTAATGAAAGAAGAAGAGGCGCCGTGAAATCTGGGGATATATCATGGCCCACGCCATGATGTCCACCACCACCCTAGTCATCACCCCCCTCTTTGCCGCCCCCGATTTCAGCGACCGACGTGTGATCGTTTCGGCCGGGCCCCCGGCTGTCCAAGAGGCCCTGCATGCTGCCCTCCGCCGCTGGCACCACTCTCCCTCCGTTGCTGCACGCAAGGGCGGCCCTGGGCAAGAGCGTCCTTGGCTTAGGTCCGGCATGTCCACCTACATGCGGACTTTCGAGGAACACTCAAAATCTTGTTCCTAATACAAATATTCATAAATAACCAAAAAATCAACCCAGACTATTTTCTGACTGCTTTTGAATTAGATTCCTCCTGTAGAGGGACACGCCCGACTCAACCCTTGGAGCGCGGCCCTCGAGGGGGCGGCTGGGGGGCCAAACCCGGGCGCTGTACATTGAGTGGAGGATCGACTGCAGAATTGATCTGCCCCAACATCAATTTTCCCATGGGATCTACGACGAATGCGTAGAATGTTCGCGCAACGACCGAGAATAATGAGCCTGTGTCCGCAGATTCGGCGAGACAATTAACTCGGGGGTAGATCAATTCTGTGGGCGATCCCCTACTCGAACAATAAAAGCCACTGCCGCCGCCTCGCGGTCAGCGATCGGAGGGGGGGACCCCCAAGCGGGTCCGCACAAGAGCTCGCTCCAGCGAAGGGCCACTCGCACGTGCGGCCGCCCGAAGCCCTGTGCCGTTGCTGCTGCTGCTGCTGCTGCTCTCCTCGATCCCGCCCTGTCCCCCCCCCCTGGTGGCGCGGCCCTGTCCCCGACCGTGCCCAACTCTGGTTTGCCCTCTGCTGCCGCTGCCGTTGCTGCTGCCGCTGCCGCTGCCGCTGCTGCTGCCGCTGCCGCTGCCGCCGATGCTGCTGCCGCCGCCGCCGCCGCTGCCGCTGCCGCTGCCGCTGCCGCTGCCGCCGATGCTGCTGCCGCCGCCGCCGCCGCTGCCGCTACCGCTGCCGCTGCTGCTGCTGCTGCTGCTGCTGCTGCTGCTGCTGCTGCTGCTGCTGCTGCTGCTTCTGCTGCTGCTGCTGCTGCTGCTGCTGCTCTCCTCGATTCGGCCCTGTCCCCCCCCCCAGCAGCGCTGCCCTCCCTGGCCACCACTAGTTAGTTCCTTGGCCTGGCCGCGTCCGCGACTGGCCCACGGGCCCATCTACTACCTTTCGCTGTCGCTGCCTCTGGGGAGACCCGACACAGATACCGATACCGCTGCTCCCCGGACCTCTCCCGGGGTGCATTCTGATCAGCTTTACGAGGCGACTCCAGCGGTTGCGATCAAGGCCACCCAGGAGGCCCAAACAAAAAAGACGAAAGCGAGGCAAGGGTAGCGGCAGCGGGACCTTTACCCCCCGGCCCTGCTTCCGCCCGCTTCGTCGGCTCGGCCCCGCCCCCCCCCAAGGCGTCTCCCGACTGCCCCCACGGCCCCACGGCCTCGGGACGGCCCCCCGTGGGTGCAACTTGCTCGCCGCTTCGGCCCCGCGCCTGGCTGTCCACGGCTCTGGCGCTGCCCTCCGCTGCTGCCGTCTTCGCCCCTAGAATGCTTGGGCTCGGCTTGACCCAAACAGAGGTCCTGCGGCCCTGTCTCCGACAGCCCCCAGTAACAGCGCTGCACTTCGCTGCCGCCGCGCCACGTCCACGGCCGCGGCCAGGGCCAGCACCGGGAGCAGGCGGCAGGGCGAGGGCCCCGCGGGCGAGGCGCATCCCTCCCCCCCCCTCCGCAGCGGGAGAGAGAGAGGGTCCTTGCCCTGCCTCTGGGCGGCGGCCTCCACGTCCCCCTGGAACACGAGGAAGTTTCGTGCCTGCTGGGGGGGGGGGGGGATCTGGAGATCGGCGCGGGGAGGACAGGGGAGGAGGCAGTGCGCGGCGGAGCGCCAGACAAGCCCAGACGACGGGCGGCAACAGGGCGGCGACGGAGCGGCGGCGGCTGCTACATGAGCCGCGGGACCGCCAGACGGGCCCAGAGGAAGGAGCCCGAAGTGCAAGCACGGCTTGGAGAAGCTGCAAAGGCAAAGACAGAGACAGAGAGACAGAGGTGGAGACCCACACGCACGCACACACACACACACACACACACGCACGCACACACGCGCACACACACACACGCACACACACACACACACACAGACAGCCAAACAGACAGAGAGGCAAACAAACAGACAGACAGAGAGGCAGACAGAAAGAGAGAGACAGTCAGGCAGGCAGGCAGGCAGGCAGGCAGACAGACCGACAGACGGAGCGAGGTCGGCACGCGCGGTAGCAGAAGTGGTCAAGATGGCTCCACATCCCGCGCGCTCAATAGAAATGTCCTTGGAGCCCCAAGGGTACACGCGGGCTTTCTCTAAAGACCTGATCTGAAATGTCAATGGTACAATTGTCGTGATGGTTCGCGCACTCTCGGCAATGAGATTCTGAACGTGCTACACAGCGTCAATGAACCTGGCGCGACCCCATTTAGGGCACAGCTTCCTATTGCATGGGCACATTGCTTGGCATTGCGTGGCGTGGCTTGGCGCTGCTCGGCATTGCCAGGCACTGCTCGCAGTTGCCTGGCTTTGCTTGCAATTGCTTGGCATTGCTTGGCATGTCGTGACATTGCTTTGCATGGATTGGCACTGCGTTGCAATGTTCTGCATCTCTTGCCTCTGCTTGGCATTGCTTGGCATTGCTTGGAAGCGCTTTGCAATGCTGGAAGCCCGAGCAACATGACCGGGAAACCCGAAGAACCCGAGCAAAGAACAAGACCAGGGATCCCGGGAGCCCGAGGGAGAAGACCTGGGGAACCCGAGGAACCCACGGAAGGACCAAGACCAGGGAACCCGAGGAGCCCAAACAAGGAAGAAAACTGGAGAACCCGAAGAGCAAGACCGGCGAACCCGAGGAAGGAATACAAGGAACAATACCGGGGAGCCCACGGCCCGTATACGTCAGGTTCGTGTCGTGCCGACTTCGGCGTTGGCTTCTGACACCGCAGGGATCGTTCAACCTTGCACAATCGGCCGTCTCCGAAACGTCCAAATCGTTCCACATCGAACGATTCTGGGTCGCCCGCGGCGTTCAACGATGAACGCCGCTGGCGGTGTCGCAGCGGGTCGACACGATACGAACCTACCGTAAAGAAACAAGACGGCGGAACCCCCGAGGGACGCCCTTGTGAGAAAAGCACAGCCGGGGACTCTCAGGGATCCCTGGCGCGACCAAGTCCGGCACCCACCGGTTTCCTCACAAACAACTTTGAACTCCTGAGGCAAAGCCTGAGCGGGGGAAAGGCACCATTGCCCATCTTTTGGTGAATGGATGGCCCTCTTCATCCCGGCAGACTCCTGGCGAGATCCGTGAGCGCGCAGTCTCCTGCGAAGGGAGCTCGTGATGCCTTCCAAGGACGTCCACCACTCCACACGTGCATGCACCGTGCTGCCCAGAGGAGCGCTGAACAAGGACCCGAGGGGCTTTTTACCTGGCCGCGGTGAGCCTCGGCCACGTATAGGCTAAATCGGGCGTGTCCCCCTACAGGAAGATTTTAGACGAAAACTTAAAAACACTCCAAAAATACCCCCCACATGTTCGAAAATACTAAAAAAATCGTCCCTGGACCACTTTTCCACTCTTTTAGAATATCCCTCCTGTTGAGGGAGAGGCCCGACTTGAGGAGAGGCTCCCCGGCCCGAGCCCGAGAGACGGCCCGAAACCCGGAGCCCCTCCCGAGCACAAGACGGTCATGGCCTCAGCGTCTTCGCTGCAAGCGGCCCTCCGCAGGAGCAGGGCGCCTGCGAGACGCCCTCGGGTCCTGGCGCCGCGATGCGGCTCACGGCGGGGCAGTTTGCCCTGCTCGGGGCCTCGGGACCCTCAGGGGTCGAGCGGGCTCGACAAGGGGCGCAGCAGGGTAATTATGGGGTCCGAGGCTCTGGTGGTGATTTTTTCTTGCGATGCTGCATTTGCTTTGCAACCTCGGATCTGAGCGGGAGCCGTGCTTCGAGTAGGGGATCGACTGGAGAACTGATGCACCCTCAGATTCATACGCCCGTCGACTCGACGAGACATGCGCAGACTGCCCCGCAGGCCTGCGAACCCTCTGCGCAGCCCCTCCCCGCGAACCCGACGACGCCATCCCCTCTGGGGCAGCGCAGCTCTGCAGCCATCCTCTGGGGAGGAGGAGGAGGAGGAGGAGGAGGAGGAGGAGGAGGAGGAGGAGGAGGAGGAGCAGGAGCAGGAGCAAGGAGGAGGAGGAAGGAGGAGGAGAGGAGGAGGGAGGAGGAGAGGGAGGAGGGAGGAGGGAGGAGGGAGGAGGGAGGAGGAGGAGGGAGAGAGGAGAGGAGGAGGGAGGAGGAGGAGGAGGAGGAGGAGGAGGAGGAGGAGGAGGGAGAGGAGGAGGAGGAGGAGGAGGAGGGAGGAGGAGGAGGAGGGAGGAGGGAGGGAGGGAGGGAGGGAGGGAGGGGAGGGAGGAGGGAGGAGGGAGGAGGGAGGGAGGGAGGGAGGAGGGAGGGAGGGAAGGAGGGAGGGAGGGAGGGAGGGAGGGAGGGAGGGACGAGAGGAGGAGGAGGAGAGGAGGAGGAGGAGGAGGAGGAGGAGGAGGAGGAGGAGGAGGGAGGAGGGAGGGAGGGGGGAGGAGCGGGAGGGAGAGGGAGGGAGGGAGGGAGGAGGGAGGGAGGGAGGGAGGGGAGGGAGGGAGGGGAGGAGGAGGAAGGAGGAGGAGCAGGAGGAGGAGGAGGAGGAGGAGGAGGAGGAGGGAGGAGGAGGGGCAGCCCCCTCCGCTCCGGCCCCTCGCGGGAGGGCCCGCCGCCGCCCTTCGCGCCGCGGCGGCCGCGCCGCGCCGGTCTGTCTCCGAGCGGCGCGCCGCCGTCCTCCCGCGGCCGCGCGCCAGGCTTCGGCCGGGCCTGTCCCGCTGCAGGAGGCATACGCAGAACTAGTGAAAAACATAGCCTGGGGACGATGTGTTGAGAAATGTCCTGAACATTGTTTGGTTTTGTTTTGCCTGTCGTCAAAAATCCGCCTGCCAGGGGACATGCCCGACCTAACGCCAGGCCAAGGCGGAGCGGCAGGGGCGCCCAGGGCTTCGCGGCCTCGCGCGCGCGCGCGCTCGCGCGCGCGCGCCCGCGCCGGCGCGAAGGGGCGCGAGGCGGACACTGCGCGCGCTCTCGCGCCGCCGCCCCCCCGAAGGGAGGGGGAGGAGGAGGAGGAGGAGGAGGAGGAGGAGGAGGAGGAGGAGGAGGCGTCGGGAAGCCGCGCCGCGGAGCGCGACAAGCGCGAGGAGCCGCGCGCGCTCGCGCGCCGCCCCCCCCCCAGGGGGAGAGACGGGGGGGGGGGAGGACGAGGACTCCTCGTCCTCTCCCCGACTCTTTTCCGTCTTCGCTCTTTGGCTTCGTTGTGCGTCTTGTTCGCTCCGCCTGCGCCGCAGAACGACATCGGAACGAAAGCACCCCTCGGAATCGTCAGAACACCGTTCAGGTCGAGCCCTGCTATGCACCCCGTACCTCCTCGGTCCGCCCTGGGCGTTGGCTCGCTGCCGCCCCTGATCCACGCCTCCTCCGAGCACGTCAAGATGCGGGAGGACCCGCTGGAGGAGGAGGAGGAGGAGGAGGAGGAGATCCCACGGGCGTCACTCCCCATCTGCTGGAAGAACAAAAATCATAAGCATCAACAAACACATACCATAGCATAAACACAAAACTTAAAAACAACTAGCAACAACAACCACAACAACAACACACACACACACACACAACAACACCACCACCACCACCACCACCACCACCACCACCACCAACAACAACAACAACAACAACAACAATCATTTTACCCGAACGCTCAGTGTTCTCCCCAGTGCCAGGGTTTTCTTGCGACACCAGCCAATACCCCCACTTCGTGGGGGGGCCGTTCAAGCTCTACCAAATATCCAAACGACTCTTCGAGACCACCCACACCCAGCTTCCCGCCCTATGACGTTGGGACACTTCACTTCGTGGCGTGCGGACGACCCTGGCTACTACACTGGCGTGGGGTACACACCCACAGAGGTTGATCACATCTGTTACATATGATGTGGTACACGGTACACGTGAGATGGTACGCAGTGCCAAGATAGTTGGTCACATTTTTGGGGCAAATTCGTGGGGATGCGATTACAGAAGTACATGTGTTACACTGATGTTATACAGGCCCAAGGATGAGAAAGTAGTGCGTTTTCATATGTTTTCTGAACATCGCATCTTGAAATTATTGAAAACCCATTATGTTTGGCAGGATTTCGACATGCGCGCGCGGCGGCCGCGCGCATGTGCACTTCGTCTCATTTTTTGCAAGGGATGGTGGCCCTCGCAGGCGCGCAACCGTTGTTGGAGAAGTTCAAAGCACCTGAAGAAGTAGCACGCAAAGACCCTTTTGACAGAAATGTTTAAAAAGTGGTGTGTTTCCTATGAATCCGCAAGAGCGCGCGGAAGGACATTTTGACAATTTTTTCTTAAAAAACCATTGGGTTTTTGATGTTTTTATGTTAAAATCGTTACGAAACCTAAGGTTTTGGAAGGATTTCGTCTTGCGCGCACGAATGTCCACTTTACCTTATTTTTTGCAAGGGATTCTTGCAATTTGATCAACTAAGAACAAGAATTTTCATTTTCTATTGTTTTTTGCAAGGGAAAACGAGCGTCAACAAAAAACCGGATCCGGGGGTAATCCACTTTTCTGAAGCTTTCGCAGAAAAATGATGAAAATGTAGCTGCGGCCTAGGTTTTGGGCGGGGGGCGTGCACCAGGGGGTCCAACAATAATAATTCTTTAGAAGTAATAGTGTTCAACAACAGCAACAGCAACAACAACAGCATCAGCAACACCACCACCACCAACAACAACAATAACCACAAACAGACATCACATAAACATAACACAAAACATAGGCATCTGCTGGAAGATAACAAACATCAACATAAAACTGTTGGCGCTCCGCGTGGAATTCTTGGACCTGCGCTGGACCCAGCGCGCCAGGGGCGGCGCTGGAGGCCCCGCCGGGGGGGCCCGGCGCCGGTCCAAGAAGTCCGCGCGGAGCGCCAAAGGTTTGTGTTTGGGGACAGAAGAACATCCTTCAAGAGCACGAGACCCTCCGCTGGCCAGAGCACGCCGAACATCCGATCGAGGGCAACCCGCAACCCCGGGATGCACAGGAGCACCCAACAGGCACGCAGAGCAGCAGGGCACCCTCCCCGCACCGACATCGATCGCATGCCGTCGCGGAGGAGGAGGAGGAGGAGGAGGAAGAGGAGGAGGAGAACGAGGAGGAGGAGGAGGAGGAGG